GCAGTGCCACAGTGACAGCCCCACTAAATAATAACTAGCTTTTAAATCTTCTTGACAATTAATTTAGGAGACACTGAAATATAGCATTATACTCTCTAAGAAATGCAAACACATGGTTGCATTCAGACAATAACTACTGAAAGTCAGAACTGATCTAATATTAATGTCAAATGCCAAACTTGAATTTAGAAACACATATTCTAGGCATTGCCCAAATCATTACGTCCTCTCGAAAATGTCCAGAATACACTAAAATAAAAGTAAAATGAATGGTAAAATCATCATACGTTACAAACCACAAAAATGTAAAATGCTTTTAAAATCTCAGTGTGTCCTTTCTGTCATAATATACTCATTTGTGATCAATTTATACACATACTTGATTTTTCTCACCAAACTATTATATCATAAGCATTTTTCCTCAAACCACCATTTATGGTTAGTATTCAACTGGATGGCAATGCCATCATATTTGTCACGATTACTAAAATCAACATCCTTCTGACAGCTTTTTAAAATCATACCAATACTAAATGTCATATATGTTAAAGTGTAGTCTAAATTTATCCATGAAGAGTTAATAATATAGACTTTACTTTTCATAAAAACTGCCTATGTTAGTAAAAAAAAAAAAATTAAGAAAAATTATTTTCGGGGCTGGTGCAACAGTGCAACAGGCTAGTCTTTCATCCTGTGGCACCAACATTCCATATGGTTGCCAGTTTGTGCCCTGGCTGCTCCACTTCCCATCCAGCTCCCTGCTTATAACCTGGGAAAACAGTAGAGGATGGACCATGGCCTTGGGATCCTGCATCCATCAGGGGAGACTGAAAGAAGCTCCTGGTTCCTAGCTTCGGATAGATTCAGCTTCAGCCATTGCAGTCACTTGAAGAGTGAACCAGAGGACAGATGATCTTTTTCTTTGTCTCTCCTTCTCTCTGTAAATCTACTTTCCCAATAATTAATTAAAAAGAAAGAAAACAATTACCTAGTTGTTAAATATTTTTATTGGAAATGCAGATTTATAGAGAGGAGAGATAAGAGAGGAAGATCTTATATCCCCTGGTTTCACTCCCTAAGTGCTGCAACAGCCAGAACTAAAGCCAGGAGCCAGAAGCCTCTTCCAGGTCTCCCACACAGTTGTCAAGGGCCAAGAACTTGAGCCATCCTCTGCTTTCCCAGGCCACAAGCAGGAGGTTGGACAGGAAATGGAGCAGCCAGGACATGAACTGGTGCCCAAATGAAACCCTGGTGCTTAGAGGTGGAGGATCAGCCAGAGGGGCCATCATGCTGGGCCCTAGTTTCTAAAACATATTTACTTGTACACTATGAACTTCAATCACTATCAGCTACTAAACATGACAAAATATTTCCAAGATTTTAATTCTAAATGGTTACCAAATAAAATATAAGCATTTAAAGATAAGTACATACAGTTCAAATAAAAATAAGGCCCAAATTAATCACCTGCAGGAAATAAATCAATACAAATCAATGTTGAAATTCTAAACCCAGTTTCTTATCACTAAGGAATCAGAAAGAAGTCTGACAATGCATTTTTGTGTATGAATTTCCCAAATTACAATGCACATACCCAAATGATTTAGTATTATCTTGCCCACTGTGCTGGCTCATGTCACTGAATAAAATGTTTTACTTTGGGATATCATGAGCTATAACACATAATATCTGTAGTTCACATGCTGGCAATAAGCTGTTGGACATAAATTAAGGAAATGGCCTCAATTTATATTAAAGTTAAAAGATAATAAAGTATAAAAGTATTAATTCGTTTCTAGATCTGCTGCTTAAATAGGGTATCTGCCATACTACAGGAATTAATTCATTCAAATTACAAAATTGAATATTTAAATTTTGTTTAGGCTACATACATATGGTTTGAAATTCAAAACAGCATGTCAGTACTTAAATGTAAATAATATCCAAAAGAAATCATAATTTAAATTGCACCCAAGAAACTAAGTATTTTTTTTCAATTATGTGATGAACACTTACATTACTGCACCTTTACAGAAAATTACAGGATCTAATAAGACAATATTTCCTACAATCAAAATTTCATTTAAAGCAATAAATAGCAAAACATATACATAATGAGAATAACCCACAAATTACTTTCTCCTAATCAGATATTATTTAGGATAACAGATCATGGTGCAAAAAAGGTTGCTAATAGTAACCAACAGCAGTTAGAAATGGCTGTATTAATAAAATACATAAAAAATATTACCAACACTAAAAAAGTGCTTTAAAGATAAAAATTGAGGAACTGAATATAAATAATTCTAAATATGTTAGCATTTACAACAGAGCATCAAAATATTGAGATAAAAACTGATGAAAAGAAAAAACAAGCATATAATTACAGTTGAAAGCTTTATAACACTTCTCAGTAATCAGGAGAGTCAGCATTGAGATGCTCAGTCAGGAAATAGAAAACTTAATACTTACAATAACAAAGATCAAGCTTTTGGGCCCAGCACAGTAGCCTAGTAGCTAAAATCCTTGCCTTGCAACTGCTGAGATCCCATATGGGCACTAGGTTTGTATCCTGGTTGTTCCACTTCCCATCCAGCTCCCTGCTTGTGGCCTGGGAAGGCAATTGAGGGCAGCCCAAAGACTTGGGACCCTCCACCATGTGGGAGCCTTAGAAGAAGCTCCTGGCTTTGGGTTGGCTCAGCTCCAGTCACTGAGGCCACTTGGAGAGTAATCAACGAACAGAAGATCTTTCTCTCTGTCTCTGTACAATCTCCCTTTCCAATAAAAACAAATATACATTTTTTAAAAGATCAAACTTTAATATATCTCCTCTAAACCTTCTACTCACCCAGATCGGATCTTTGGAATTCTGTGTTTGTGTTCACATTGCCCAATTTTAGCAACAAACTTAAGTCAGTTTGGAGGGACTTCCCAACCCTGTGTATCTGGTAACTTTGGTCTGCCTTCAGGAAGAATTCGGTCTTGTTGGCTCACCCAGAATCCCCTGCCCCTTGATTTTCACCTTGTTATTTTCCATGCACTGACCTCCAACTTGCCCCTAAGCTATAAATCCCAATTTGTTCTTCCAGCATTTGGAATTGAGCCTCATTCTACAATGAAGTTTTTGTCTATTTCCACAGATTCCACTGACATTCATGTGAAACAGGTCTATGGGTGACTGGGCAGGGTCAGTCTACAGCATACACTAGCATGAGTGAGAGTCAGGACAAGGTACACGCCAGGCTGAGCTGGATAGCAATAGAAGAGGGCTGGGGGTGGGCCAGGGTGGGCTAGGTGGTTGTACCATCTAGTGAGAGCAGGGACTGGGGCAGGCCAGGCTGAGCCGGGCTATAGCACCTGCTAGTGAGTGCCAAGACTGGGGACAGGTCATTTCAGTCTGGGCCACAGCATCTACTGGCACATGCAAGACCTGGGGTTGGGAACAGGCCTGATTAAGGAACTTTAGGGATCCCCTAGCTAGGCGGCTGCTCCCAGCGGTAAGCATGAGAGCTGGGATTGGAAGTGGGCTAATCTGGAAGCTAGGGCTAGGTTACTGTACTTACTGGTATTCATGAGAGCCAGAAAAGGTGCAGACAAGCCTAACTAGGCCATAGCACCAGCTGGCAAGTGCTGGGAATAGGTGCAAGATATATCAGGCTGGACCACAGTACTCCTGGCAGGCACAAGACCTGGCACTGGGAACATATTGAAAAAAACTGAAACATGTGTCTTCCCCAGTACTTAAATCTCCCCACCCTAGTCATAGGCCCACATGGGCATGCATCCTTCTCAACTATGTAAACAATATTAAAGAGACAATTTTAAACAAAATAAAATGTTGGACACAAAGAAGTACATTCTGTATGATACTGTTAACAGGATGGTGCAACTCATCCATACATAAGGCATGACACATTGTTACCCTTGCAAAGACTGATGCATGCCCTGCAATGCTCTAGAAGGATCTAGATCCTGGATACAGGGGGATGCACACTTTGTGAAAACCCAACGAGCTGTACAGGAGGACCCAAGCACTTTCAGATTTCTATAAACGCCATGAAGGAAAACTGCGTCCATCCCCCAGTCACCTTTCTGATTGTCATCATGAGCCCTCTGCAAAACTCTGCAATGCGATAGCTTCATGTCCACTGCACAGAGCAATCACCTTTGTTTTCATTCATTTTATTGATATACAGCTGCGAAGGGTACTCCAATGGTTATATAACTGTCATTTCAGGTCAGTTCCATACCAGATCCCAGAGGAAGCAGACCCAAAACAAACCCTCCTGGCAGTGTGGTGTGGTGAGATCTTTTCTATCGGCTTTTGTCTACTGTCACAGAGTTTTAATCCACTGAGAAACTTTAATCCACTAAGAAGTTTTGTAGAGTCTGTTCTGTGGGAGGTTGTCTCTTCCTACCACCACGGTCTAGTAATGCAGCTAATTTGTGTTTTTCCATTCATCCACAGAGCATAAAATAGTGCTTCAAATACTGCTGGGTGGTGTCACCTTCTAGTTGGTGAGAAAGTGGGTTCACCGACACGGGGAACCTATTCATTGTAACAGTCTCTCTCCCACTAAGTGATTTCTGTCAGGGGAAGAAAAGAGGCAGAGCCAGAACTTTCCAACTCGCGGAGACTAGAGAAAACCAAAGCGGAACCCCTGAATCAGTGCTCAGCCGCAGCTGCCGCCGTCATCCACCGCAAACAGGTGAAAGCGCCGAAATCACGCCCAGCCCGGCGGCCGGTGCCCCGAGGAGCCCACGACGCCCACCTGTGAGGAAGCCCCGTCCCTCGCGGCCGCGCGCGCCCAGCACGCCCCGGGTGCAGACTCCTTCCCTCCCCTCGGGGAGCCCGAAGCCGGAAATTCCAAGGCTGCAATTCCCACCCTGTGCTCACCCCTATCCTGCTCCGACTGTCCAGACCTTCCCGGCCAACTCGTTGACCTCAGATGCGCCCCCGCACCTCCCCGAGCCCACGGCGTGAGCTCGCCCGCACTCACTCGGTCCGGAGGCGCAGCCACCACCACGTCAGCCAATCGCCGCTCGCTCGGAGCCTCCGGGCGCGGGGCTCGCCGGCGCGCGGAACTGCGCGCGCCCCCAAAACCAGCCGGCGGGACGCGGCGCGCGACGGAGGGAGAGAGGGAGCGAGCCGGCCAGCCGCCCGCCGCCCGCCGCGCGCGAGGCCCTTCGGGGAGCCGGGGCGGCGCGCACCGGGCATGCGCGTGCCGGGCCGCGGGGCGGGGCCTGCGAGGACGCCGTGCGGGAGCGTGAGGAGAAGCTGCGGGCTTCGGGAAGAGCCGAGGCGGAGGCAGGCCGGCGCCGCGGTGAGGGGGCGGCCACAGCGGGCGCGGCCACAGCGGGCGCTCCGGAGGAGCAAACCGTGAACGGGGACAAAATCTGATGTGGCTAGACAAGGGAAACCGCGAGGCTGAATGTGCGTCGGGCGGCCTCAGCCTCGTCGCTGTGGAGACCTCACGGGACCCGGCGACGTCGTGGTCCCTGCTGTGGTTTTTTTTGTTTGCTTTTTGAGTGGGCTCGGAGTTTCAGGGAGAGCAAGGATGGGGCGCAGGGGAGACGTGAGGGCCGCGTGATCCTCCCGGAGCGATCCCCGGGGTGGAGGATGCGGTGCCTCATCGAGGCCACGGCGGCTTCCGAGTGGAGCCTGAGACGGTGACTTTCTTGAACCTAAGTACTGGAAAAACACCCAAGTGCTGACGTCCAAGAACGAGCTTTGAGACAACATGTTGAAGCATCCGGAATTAGAGCCTCAAATTTCTACCTCGGAGTTGAAATTAGAATTAGTATAATTAGCTATGAGTAATTCAAATGGGATTTATAAAAACATTACTTTTATAAATATCATTTGAACTCCTTTTTTTTTTTCCAGACACCGAATATGTAGGGAGCCCATGCTGAGTGTCAAACACACAATTGAGTGCAGGATAATAAGTAGTAACACAGTAATTTTCTTAAAGAAGTACACATGGCTTAACCTGGCCCTTGTCTCTCATTTAAAAGATGTATTTTTACTTATTTGAAAGGTGCAGAGAGGTCTTCCTTCCACTGATTCACTCCCCAAGTGGAGCTGGGCTAGGCCTAATCCAGCAGCCAGGAGCTGCTTCTGATGTAAGCACTTGGGCCTTTTTCTTCTGCTTTCCCAGGGGCATTAGCAGAGAGCTGGATCCCAAATGGGTTAGCCAGGATTAAAACAGGCACTGCCAAGGGATGCCAGAGCTGCAGGTGTAGACTTAACTTGCTATGCCACCACTCTAGGCCCCGTTATTTTTTTTTTCAATGCATACTCAGAATAAGCACAGTAGGAAATGTTGATGGGATCCTAGATTACTGATTAATGTTAATGAAAGGAACGTAAAATTAAGCAAATATAAGAAGGGTTCAGAACCCAGCACAGTAGCCTAGTGGCTAAAGTTTTCGCCTTGAACATGCCAAGATTCCATATGGAAGTCGGTTCTAACCCCGGCAGCCTCATTTTCCATCCAATTCCCTGCTTGTGGCCTGGGAAAGCAGTCGAGAACTGACCAAAGCCTTGGGACCCTGCACCCATGTGGGAGATCTGGAAGAGCTCCTGGCTCCTGGTTTCAGATTAGCGCAGCACCAGCCATTGCAGTCACTTGGGGAGTGAATCATTGGACAGAAGATTTCCCCCTCTCTGTCTCTCGTCCTCTCTTTATATCTGACTTTGCAATAAAATAAATCTTTTTTAAAAGGGAGCAGAAAATGATGTGCATTTGTGAGAGTAAAATAGATTATGCACAAATTTTTGGTTCTATGATAATGTACAATGTTCTGATGGAGTTAGTTGCAAATTTAACATCAGGAATTGAATCAGATATTTATGGGCAGAAAGTAGCATAAAGATGATATGAGACAAAAGAGGGTATTGTTACAGATAGATAGACGGTCAAATCAGGAAGAGCGGCTTGTCCAAAAATTTGTAGCCAAACCAAGTTATGTGTGAAAAAAAGGACAGGGACCGGCACTGTGGGGAAGAAAGTGAAGCCGCGGCCTGGGAGCCCACTGCCCAGATCAAAGTGTCCGGTTCATGGCTGGCCAGTAACTTCGGACCCCACTTCCTCCTGCGCAGATGATGTCTCAAGTACTGGGGCCACTCACTGCCATCCACCTCAGAACCCCTGACTGCGTCCTGCCACAGCCACTGCTGGGAATTTGTGCCTTTCAACTAGATAGGAGGAAAGGAATTTTTTTTTTTTTTAGCTTGGAACTGAATAAAGGGAGGAAGTATTCGGTGGGGGGTGGGGGGAATGGTATGGTGGAGCACAGAGATGACTACAACACTGAGAAGATAAAAAAAAAAAAAACCAAGTGAGTCAGTATAATAAATAGCTAGAGAAAGTGACTGTGATTCACTTATTCCTCGTGTTTCAAAGCTCATTATCTGCTTTCTTGAAGTCTCTAGGGTAAACACAAACCCGTTTTCTTTCAGTGCTGTATCTTCCCTCCAGCCTGCTCTTTCTCCCCTTTTATATGCAAATAAGTTCAGACATTAGGCCAAATCCTTCCCAGCTACAGTTTGAGTTTCACCTAAGGCAAAGCACTTAGTGCTTAGCTGTTTCCCTGTTCCCTTCTCCCGCTGCCTTGAGTCATGTATGCACTTCTTTGTTTTCCATCCTGCTAACTATCAGCTGATATGAGAGAAGGTAGAGCTTTCTTTGCTTTTCTCAAACAGATTATCATAGATATTATTTTTTGGAAAATGGGATTATAAGTTTGGACTGGCTTGTGGTCCAGCTGCCTTTGCTAATACACCTGGGAAAGCAGAAGATGGAGGAGACCAGGTGAATCTCTCTCTCTCTCTCTCTCTCTCTCTCTCTCTCTCTCTCTCTCTCTCTCCCTGCATCTCTGTAACTGTGCTTTTCAAATAGATAAACATGGAAAAAAATTTAAGGTTGAGAGTTGTGGCTCAGTATTGTTAAGCTACTGCTTGATTTCTCTATGTCCCATACTGGAGTCCTAGTTTTGAACCCTGCCTACTACACTTCTAGCTTCCTGCTAATGCAACTGGGGAGAAGCAGATGATGATGGTTTAAGCCATGGGTTCTAGCTATTAAATGGCACACCCCAAAGTGCTCCTGGTTCCTGGCTTTAGTTTGGCCCGGCTCTGGCTGTTGTGAGCATTTAGGAATGAAACCAGCTAATAATAGTTGTTTTCTTATTTTTAGTTATAAGATATTTTGGGGTAGTGTAGTACATATCCTTTATCAGATATATGTTTTGGTAATACTGTCCCATTCTGTGTCTTAACTCTCTACTATCAATTTCAAAGCAAGTACAACTTACTGATTTCTTTCATTCATGGAAATGCTTTTGGTATTGTGTTTTAAAACTCACAGTCAAATCCAATACTCCCTATATTCTGTTTTATATAGAAGTCTTGGGGTTTTGTGTTTTAGTATATGTGCTGCCAAAGTGAGCACTGGGTTTTTGTGTTTTATATTTAGGTCTGTGATTCATTTTTAAAAACCAGTATCTAGGGCCTAGAGAGATGGCCTAGTAGCTAAATCCTCGCCTTACACTCACTGGGATCTCATATGGGTGCCGGTTCGTGTCCCAGCTGCTCCACTTCCTTTTTAGCTCTCTAACTGTGGTCTGGGTAAGCAGCAGAGGATGATCAAAAGCCTTGGGACCCTGTCCCACATGGGAGAACTGGAAGAAGCTCCTGGTTTCTGGATTTGGATCAGGTCAGCTCTGGCCATTGTCGCTATTTGGGGAGTGAAACAGCAAATGGAAGATCTTTCTCTCTGTAAATCTACCTTTCCTATGTATCAATGTTAATTCATCAGTCGTACCAAATCCAGTGTATTTAATGCTTCCTATGCAGGTCAGTCTGCATATGACACTCAGCCTGCTTATCTAGCCTATGGGCAGCAGTCAGCAGCCACTGCACCTGCGAGACCACAGGATGGAAACAAGCCAGCAGAAACTAATCAACCCCAGTCTAACATTGCAGGCTACAACCAGCCCAGCTTACGATAGGGACAAAGTAACTACAGTTATCCAGTTATCCGCAGTGTCGCAGTGTCGGGGAGCTTCCCCATGCAGCCAGTCACTGACCACGACCCTAATATAAAAGCTACTCTTCACAGTGACTAGTTATGGCCACAAGTTACTCTCAGCTCAACACTATGAGCAGCTGATCAGCTATGGTCAGCAGAGTAGCTATGGTCAACAAGGCAGCTATGGACAGCAGCCTCCCATTAGTTATCTATCTGCTCTTCTCTTCCCCCTCCCTCTCCCTGACCCCTACCAACTGGATCCTACAGCCAGGCTTCAAGTCAATATAGTCAATGCAGAGTTCATTCCAACAGGACCACCCCAGTAGAATGGGTATTTATAGGCAGGAGTCTAGAGGATTTTCTGGACCAGGCGAGAACTACAGTAGGTGACTCTTTATTGAGATGAAATTTTCATCACAAAAGTAACCATTTTTAAATGAAAAATGTGGTGCCATTTAATATATTCACAGTGTTTTGCTATCACCATCTTCGTCTCGTTTCACCCCCCCTATGAAAGTGGCCTGAATCGGGCCCAGCGCGGTGGCGCAAGTGGTTAAGGTCCTCGCCTTGCACGCCCGGGATCCCATATGGGCGCCGGTTCTAATCCCGGCAGCCCCGCTTCCCTTCCAGCTCTCTGCCTGTGGCCTGGGAAAGCAGTCGAGGACGGCCCAAGGCTTTGGGACCCTGCACCCGTGTGGGAGACCCGGAAGAGGCTCCTGGCTTCGGATAGGCATAGCATCGGCCCGTTGCGCTCACTTGGGGAGTGAATCATCGGATGGAAGAGCTTCCTCTCTGTCTCTCCTCTCTGTATATCTGCCTTTCCAATAAAAAAATAAATCTTAAAAAAAAAGAAAGTGGCCTGAATCAAAATGAAATCACTTATGTCAAACCCACTTCTGTCAAGTGGAAATGTTACATAGGACAGCGCTCGTGCACATATGTCTATGATTAAAAACTATTACAAAGGGCTAAAGGACTCTTACATACATATTCCTAAAAAAAAGGAGCTTTTTTCAGTCAGTGCCATGGCTCAATAG